CGACGTTGCTGCTGCTCCGGGGTAACAGGATAAGGCGTTTGCTTACTACCTTCTCTCTGCGTTTGTAAAGTCTCTCCTTTCTGCATGATCGCCCGCCTGTGTGCTGCTTGCATTGCACTTTCAGCCCTGTGCCAGGGCCCGAAAGGCGGCCCTGGACGCGACCTGCTACCGCAACATTGAGGAACGAACTAGGAATAACGAAAAACGAAATACTAGCTAGATAGAAACGCGAACTCGGGAAAATGCGATGCCAATGCTGCTAACGACAGCAAGTGATAATGGCGCTGCTGATAGAAATCAAGGTAATGGGAAGTGATGAGAAAGTGGGGCAAGTGGGGAGGGAGGGAGTGAGGAGGTGCAATGGAGGACGTGGCGCTCATTTCAAAATGCGAACATTCGAAACTGCTGTTTGAAATGCCCGTATTCGCTATGAGGATAGGCGAGATGAGAAGGAGAATTTTGACAAAGCCGTGCTGTTAAAATATATTGTGGAACCCATTGTTACTATGCAATCTATATACTATGCAGCGTAAAGAGAATTGCTGCAAGGCCGCATACTGCTGCGATCAAAATTTGATCGTAACCAAGATCACCTCTGGAAGGTTCGCACAGAGTGTGTGGTAGTGGTGGGCCCTTGACCTCAAATCAGAGTGAATGTAAAATGATTGAGATGATAAAAGCATGCAAATACAAGCATATAAATAGTAGTGTCCGTCATACCCCGGATATACCCCCATGGGGGGCAATAATAAAACAGGTTTTTTTTTAGGGGGGTGGGCTTATTATCGGGTACATTTATAAGCGCCGGCGTCTATAAAACGACACATATAGTTTATACATTTTTTTTTAACACCAAGCTGTAGATCTCGTGCTTGCATTTTCAATCGAGTCGAAGTTACATGGGGTCGTCTGTGAAATTCTCGCGCGCACTGGGAGATACACCAAATCTGACAGCTCCTGACAACTTCTGACAGCTTCTGACAACTCCTGACAGCTCCTGCTGACTGGACCCGCATCCAGTGCAGGGTCCGAATGTGAAGGGAACCGAATCTGGAGACATCCGCCTGCTAAAGTAAAATTCGTTACAGGGTTTTGAACATATTTCAAGAATTAAAGTTTACGTGCGCTTATAATAAAACAGGTTTTTTTCAGGGGGTGCGCTTATAATCTAGCAGCGGATATAAGCGCCATGCGCCAATTAAAAGCGCCAGGCGCTTATCCGAGGGTGGCGCTTATATCCGGGGTATGATGTTGAGAAAATAGGCAAAAGAGGACTGAACTAGCAAGAATGGGGATACAAATAGCAAACCCTAGAAGGGTTGTACTCGCTACAGAGCACCCCACTACAGGCTAGAGCATAATATTCTGACACACCCCCATAGCCATGTCAGAATCCCAGCCACTAACCACTGGGATAAAAGGGCTTGTTTGTGTAGCGGGTAAGTGCGCCCATAACCCCCCAGGCCAACGTGCCTGTAACCCTTCCCTAGGATCAATCGGGGATCACCAGTGGACCTCTGACACCCCCCCGCACTGGGATGCCCGAAGTGCACACACTGGGATTCGAACCCGAGACCTTCGCTCTGATACCATGTCAGAATCCCAGCCACTAACCATTGGGATAAAAGGGCTTGTTTGTGTAGCGGGTAAGTGCGCCCATAACCCCCCAGGCCAACGTGCCTGTAACCCTTCCCTAGGATCAATCGGGGATCACCAGTGGACCTCTGACAAGCCAAAGTGGGGTGTAATCAGCAGAGGAAACAAAGCAGTACAAGCTCAGGGTGGATCACAATGTCACCACACATTCTGAGCACAAGCAAGAAGCAATAGTTTAAGGTTCACAATTATGAGCAAAGCTAGAGGCTGTCACAGAGGGCAAGCGAGGAGGAGGAGGGCTGGTGAGATGAGAGAAGAGTGGAGGCGACGACTGAAGCTGCAGACACACGGGCAACAGACGGCTCTGGTGCAACGCTGGTGGCTACCGGGAGGAGAAAGGCCCCGGAATACAGGAGTAACAGGCTCTGCGTCTGATCAGCCAGCGACAGTAGCAACTGACCCACGGGCGACAGATGCAACCGGCTCTCTGAGCTTCTGACAACTCCTGACAGCTCCTGCTGACTGGACCCGCATCCAGTGCAGGGTCCGAATGTGAAGGGAACCGAATCTGGAGACATCCGCCTGCTAAAGTAAAATTCATTACAAGGTTTTGAACATATTTCAAGAATTAAAGTTTACGTGCGCTTATAATAAAACAGGTTTTTTTCAGGGGGTGCGCTTATAATCTAGCAGCGGATATAAGCGCCATGCGCCAATTAAAAGCGCCAGGCGCTTATCCGAGGGTGGCGCTTATATCCGGGGTATGACGGTAGTACAAGGGAATACCAATCGTCCTAGCTAGCCATGTACTCTAAGGGGTACATTTCCTTATTCAAATTCAAACCTAACCGTGCGGCACGTACAGTTACGAAACTGTTCCCGCCTTTTTCCTCGCTCCTGCAGCTGCCCAATCAGGGCTCTCGCTAGGTTTTGGGATGTTTGACAGTATACGGGAAAATTTTTTGCCCGTCTTATGCTCGGACGACAAAATTTTCATGGTCTGCATTCTAAGCTGAAAACAATTTTCTAGTCTGATTAAAAAGGCGAATTAAAAATTCATGTCAAAAGTCATCCTACTGTTATCCTGCAAAGCTATCTCATGAGAGCGAGGCTGCTACAAGACACGCGTATTGAATGCGCGTGCAGTTATAGGGCAGCAAACAGCTGTACCTGTGGCCTATCCTGTAGTCTACTGGGCATGTGGCCTAGTGGGTCAAAATGTCGGTTTCAGACGAAATCGAACTCGATATCTGTAAAATCAGATTAAGTATTCTACATGGTCTGTAAAATCATACGAACCTAAAACGCTTGTCTTACTGATCAGATGAGAATAAACGCGCAGTCTTATGAATCAGATGAATACAAAAAATCACGTCTGAAACTCAGACCATCAGACCAAATTGGTCTGATAGCGAGAGCCCTGTGCCCAATGTTGTCTGCTCCGACAGTCCGGATACTCCCTAACTGAGTCGCTCTGAGTCATTTCTAACTCTTTGTCTCCAACTCCGATATTGTGTGCTTCCTTTGCCATTGCCAGGAGTGCACAGTATCCTTTCTTAAGTTATCATTCGTAACACCCCCCTTCATTCCTAATCGTAGGTCGCTTTGACCCGCTTGACTACTTTGCTAAGTTCGGAGAGGTTGACGAATCCAGGCTTGTACGCAATTCGGATCGCGCTCTGGTTGTCGCAGTGCAGGCGAAAAGTCGGCAAGATTGGAATTTCCGCCTCTTGAAGGAGTTCTTGCAGGTAGAGGCCTTCGCGAACTGCTGCTGTCGCGGCGATGAATTCAGCTTCAGCCGATAGAGGGACTTCTGGAGGAGGCAGACGGCACCGCTTTCAGAATAGCTAGGCAAGAATGGTTGAACTAGCAGAAGTTTGGGTACAAATATGAAACCCTAGTTGGGGTTGTACCCCATATTGGCTACCCCACTACAGCCTACAAGCATAATACAGTTTAACACACCCCCATAGGCAAAGTGGGGGAGAACAAAGGGTCACAAGACCAGTCCAGCAAAGCAAAGCAAAGCCCAGGGTGGATCACAACGTCACCACACTCCGAGCACAAGTAAAGGCCACAAGGCCAGTTCACATGCAGTGCTAGATATAGTACAAGACAAGCAACACAGTGATCAAAACCTAGCAAGCAAGCAACAAGATATATATAAAGTACAGTACAAAGAATGTCAAGCAGTGAGCAAGTGAGGAAACGTGGACACAAGGCCTAAAGAAGTACAGTGCCGCTGATGATCACTAGGCGGGAGCGCCTTGGTGAAGATATCAGCAGTGTTGGCCTTCGAGTCCACGTACACAAGCCGAAGCTGACCGCGCTGCTGAAGCTCTCGAGCAAGAAAGTAGCAAAGAGCAATGTGCTTCGTCCTGTGCTCCAGTCTGTGCTCCTGACACAAGGCAAGAGCCGCCTTGTTGTCACCGTACAGAACTGGAGGAGAACTAGGCCGCTCTCCCAAGTCAGTCAGCAGGTAGGTGAGCCAGCGTAACTCCTGTGCAGCCATGGCTGTGGCGTAGATCTCAGCCTCACAACTAGAGCCGAGAACAGAGGAAGAGCGGGTGG